AAATAGCAACTGTATCCCTGTTGCATTTCCTGGTGAGGTGACAAAAAACAGGCAGAAAGGTAGATAGATTGAATAGAAGCAGCAGCTAAGGTATCGAGGCTTTGATTTCTGCCTTTTCTTTATATCATATCCCCTTCACAGTGTTTCTTCAATTGTCAGTCTAGTAAAAGTTGTCATATCACAGTTCACATCCTAGTAAAAATCAAACTTTGGCACCCATATCCATGTTGGAAAAAATTGAGTGAGCGGCTCACTTTTGACACAATTTTCGATGGGACCCATTGGTCCAATGTGGAATATCAAAGTTGATATGTGTTCTCCTTCGCGAGAACATCGATTTCATGTATTTATTTACTAAAAATGAAGTTCAGGTGAATAAGAAATTGAAGTTCAAAGTTGATCATTGGAAGTTGGTTTTGTAGGGAAAAAATGCATTTATCCCACATAGGAAAACCAAGAAAACTTAAATCACTTTATATATGGCTATGCTTTGGAGATGTGTAATCATGTGTAACATAGAAGCTCTCTCCACGTGCCCGCGCAGGGAGGTGCAAATCACGAACCGAAACGGTCTTCGGACCTTAAACTTGGGTGCGGGACCTCGGCACACAAATGTCAGACCGAACAAGGCAAAAAATGGCCCCATCGTGAGCCCACGTTTTACCAATTTTTTTTGGCTTTCTCCAATAACTTTTGAGTTTCTAAACTGAAAAAACTCCAATGGATTTCCAATGGTCACAGTGTTAATGGGAAGTAACTCCAATGGACTCTCAATGGTCACAATATTAATGGGCAGTATGCCCATAAAAAGGCTCATTCTCCAACAATCTAACACACTTGAAAATCTCACCTATATTCCTGCATACGAAATTTCTTCTTTTCTGCATTCCTTGTCCAGTAAGGTCTTGTTCTTGTGGTGATATTGTTTAGATACTAAATCAGTTCGTCGGAGTAGGACCGCGGTGCTCGAATTCTGCTTATTACCGTTGTATTCTGGGAGACAGCCGCTCGAACTGAACCTTCAATGCCTACAGTGAGGGGGTGAAACTGTCTTAAAGAAACTGTGCACGCACAGGCCTTGGTTTGAAATCTGCTACAGTTTGTATTTTCTTTCTGCAGATTTATTTCGTTGCAGTTCGTGTAGTTTCTTTGCAGTTTCAGTTTCTATTTATTTCTGCAGATTATTTTCGCATCAGTTTCCATTTATTTCTATAGATTATTTTCGCATTACTATTTAATTCATGCAGTTTGTAGTTCCATAGTGTGCAGCTTCCAAATTCATCGTTTACAGTTTTAGCCTGCAGTTAACTTATATTTCTAATTTTATGTGGCTAAACATTTTTTTTTCAGCCGTTGGAAAATTCTGAAACGGAATTTTTTTTTATAAATTGAAATCGTTTGCCTTGTGGTTATTAATTTCAATAGTCGGCTATTGCATTTGAATAAAACTTATACAATTGGTTTCATCCACTAGCGACTTGTTTTCTTACAATCCAGATAGTCACGGACTATTTTACTGTGAGACTTGAGATTTCTTTGTAATCTCAACTTGGTATACGTACTTTTGGAGGGGGGGTTGAGTTTGTTGAATCTTTTGGTTGTTGTTTTCTACTATGTCTAGCCCGTGTACAGGGACGGATTCAGGATTGGATTCAAGATCGAGCTACAAAAATTCAAACCCGGCTAATACATGAAAAAAAAAAATTTACACATAAAAAAACTGTTTTTACAGGAAAAAGTTGAAAAATTCCTTAACAAAATTTTTTTTTTTGGGCCTTGTGGGGGAGGGGGGGGGGGTCCCTGCCCGTGTATGTAGGCCAAGTGACGAAGAACGTAAGTACACACTTTCTCTTTTGTAATTTCGACTGAAAGTTACAGAAACTCACATGGGGTGTGAGATTGTTTTGCTAGAGAAAATACAATATCCACCACATAATGGAAGTATAAGAATATCTGTGCATGTCTATGAAGAGTATCCAGGATGAAACACAAGTTAACATATATACTGTCTCTCCGCAAGAATGTGATTTAGTAGCTTCTTTAGTTTCTGAATTTCATGATATCTTGAAGACGGCACAGCTTGTGAGGTACCATTAAAAAATTAGGTGAGACAGAATTGTTCCTTGAGATAATTTCTGTTTCCCCAAGCTGGAGCTTGAGATTGCCAGCTTGCATTTCTGAGAACTTATTGAAAAAAAAAAAAAAAAAAAAAGG